CCATAGCCAGAAGAGTTTTTTTGCGTGCCAGGGTAACATGAGTGCTGGGGAAGGAAGGACGCAGGGAGGGAGAAAATTTGACCCACCCTAATTTTTCTTCAGTGGCATCAAAGCTAAACATTGACAACAAACGGGCTTTCATAAATCTGTTGACCAGGAAGTGAGCCATCGATAAGACTAAAATCAAGCAAATCGACAAGCAATGGTTTGGTTACAGTCTGGCGAGTCAGGAAACGCGTACGGCGCAATCGTTGGCCGGCCATACCGACATACGAGCGCCCGTGGCGCCACACACCTGCCGTCCCACGCAGGTACGCCGAAGAGTACCGCCCAATGCAGGTACGCCGAATGGCACCGTCCAATGCAGGTACGCCAAATGATACCGTCTAATGCAGGTACGCCGAATGGTAACGTCCAATGCAGGTACGCCGAATGACACCGTCTAATGCCGGTACGCCGAATGGTAACGTCCAATGCAGGTACGCTGAAAGGCACCGTCCAATAGAAGTGCGCGTTCGTACAGCAACGGTCTATTTCTGATGCAATTCTTGGCAAATGGCTTCTAAATAAGCGACCCCTCGCTCAGCCCGACCTTGAAGACCACCACAACATGTAATTACCCATCCGTCAGAAGCTGGCGCCGCCGTTCGCGGAAGGACGCCGAGGATGAGAAACGGAGCCGAGACCGGGAGCATTCCACACGTCTGTGACGTCAGACGTGTGACTGGACATCTGGCAAACTTCAGGTTCATCAGAATGAACTGTGTTGGAAGTCGGCATTAGCCATCTTCCCACGCTGCTTCGTATTTGGTCTGTCATTGACCGGGGTTTAAAATTACCTGGGTTGACACCGACGGCGTGCAATTAACCAGCGCGTCTACATGACTACGCAGCACTGCTCACGCTTCATGTCACGCTCTCAGAATCATGATCGCTAGCCTGCGCAAAAGTGCTAACGTCTTCGACATTGACCATTATCGTTCGTGACGGCTGGCCCAGACGGCTTTTCGATCGCTGACCTGGTCCAATCCCATCTACCTAGCCTGTGGCCACCGCGATCCAGCACTCCCAGAGGTTATCAACCACGCATAATTCTCTGGAAAGGCGACTGCCTCCAGCCTTCCCACAAGCAATGATAGCAGGTAGAGGGCACCCTTTGTCCATCTCTAAATCGCACCCTTCTGACAGGCCTTCCAAAGCGCGCCTTCGACCCCACCACAATGGTGCACATTGCACCGTGTAATGTTTCACCATTGCTGATCACGATAGGCTTACGATCCCATGGGTTATGGCATGACCATTCACATAAATATTCGCGAAAACATTTCACTGTCAACAAAAGGTACAAGCCTGTTCAGCCTGTAACCTGAACAAGAAAAAAGACTCCATCCTGCGTCATGCGGAAATACAAGTGTGCAGTGGCTTAATATTTAAAGGAAGCAGTGGCGTGGTATTTTCGGAATAATCCAGGTCGATCACGCCACAGGGAAAGAACGTTATGGTAGTTAGTTGCTGTTAATTGCAATCGTGGCTGACCCGTTGTTGATAGGCGTTTCGCAGCACGCCCACGGCATAAGTAATGCTGCGCTAAAATATTCAGCGATCATGGGGCTGAATGGGAGCACAAGTGTTCACGCCGTGATCGGCATGTTCTGAGTGATGCTCCCACCAGCCAGCTCATTCTGTGTGCTCGGGCCTGGTGCCGGGGCAGCGTCGGCTGCACGCTGCCAACAATTTTGAGCATTTTATTGAAAATTCGCAATTTTTACGAGCGTGCGTCTTTTTTCATTTTATATGAACTAGTCCTTGCTGCAAGTTTAGGTTCAGATTTCATGTGACTTCGAGCACGTGGACTGACAGTGCGTCTGCCGCTGAATTAGAGGAGGGAGGGGGGGGGGGGGGGGGTACCTCACGCGCTTTAGTGGAAGTGGGCATGGCACAACTTATAGCTATGTTTTACCGCGCAACGTCAAGGAAGTGATGTTAACCCTTCATACGGAGTTGAAGGAGAAAATACTAAATTTTACCCAAGATGGAGGCGCCGCATCCTGACCCTCCCCCTCTCGCCGGAGAATTTCCGCGCCCTTGCACTTCCTCTCTCCTGCAAACCGTCCAGTGCATCGCCCGACGCCGGGTCGTCTCTCTTAATGGATTATCCACAACACAATTAATTGTTGTCTCGATGTCCAGGGAAAACCAGCTCTAAGTAAGCAGCCTTGGCAGTTGAACTAGCCAGTTTTAATCGCGCCCCCGGAAGCGCATTTTTCCATCTTCGCAGGGCAAGACGATCCCACTGGGTCCCAAGCTATCTCCAAGATTGAATATGCTAAGGCCAAATAGAAGGCGACATCGGAGAGCTCGCTAAGCAGCAAAACATGTAATGCCATTGAATATTGGGGGAAGTGATCCACGAGAGCTCCAGCCGTGTCATCTGATCGACATTACATGCTGTTGGCCCTTATGCCATGCTCAGAAATACGCACGTGCGTCGCAATGGTGGGGTTGTCGTATTCTGCAGCCTTTAGCATAGTAAATAATACACTGGTGGTAGTGTTACCAGCCAAACCAAGCCTTGTGTACATCCGCAGCACCCCACTTTTTTAAATCAAGCAGGATACAACGACAACGCAGACGACGAAAGCCAATTCCTGCCGACTAGCGTCAAATATCGAGCAAGTTGGCATAAAAGCGTTTCACACCTGCTATCTCAGCATCATGAAACATCATAATATACAACAAATCGATGCAGGGAAGCTATTCCAAGCGCAAATTCTACGATTTCCGAAAGCTGCCTAGCGTGCGTGCGCAAAATACGTTCATGGTCCCGACAAAGGGGATGTCACTATTGATCTGTGGAAGGCAGGGCCTTCACAGTTTAGGTTGGTATAAAATCGTTAAAAACTGAGCAACTGAAACGCGGCATCACTAATCACTTCAACGTCAGTTCGTGAAAGCCGAGGTTCAAGTAACGAAACCTGTACCACTCAATTCTGAACTACTTAAAAAACTATGCTTAAAAGCAACCAAATCTGTTGAGGGTGTGTTCCTCACTCCTTTCCAGGCTTCGGCCCTGGACTCTCTTGATAGCAGTCTATCACCTTGCCTTCTTCACTATGCCAGACCAGCCAGCGTACCCTCACCTCCCTCAACATTTCATTTTCAATGGTCTGAGTCAACTGAAAGCTTCTCAATGTAGCGTTTCCCACGTCAAGGCGCGTCACGGCGCGCATTCTGATTTGAATGGGCATCTATGGAGATTAAGTATCTAGGGGATATCAGATGTCAGCCCTAACCAAGGAAATATTGCCATTTTTGCAGCACTTTGTTCTTTTGACTGCCACACAATCATGGCTGAAGTGCTGCCATATTTGAGCATGCACAATGAATGAATGAATGAGCATATTCCCATGAATAAGCAGCCAAATGGGCCAGCAGAATACTGCCACCTTCAGAAGTACCACTATCAACCTTTAGGGACTTATGGGAAGAGCAAAGCAAAGGTGACAGCCCTGACCCCCACCATCCCAGTAGGATAAACCCAGTGTAGCACACAATTTTCACTGATTTTCAAGAGCCATTCATTGAAATCAGGACATTAGCCCTCAGTCTGTGACTCTGATAACATCCCCAGTGTTTTACCAGTGATGCATCTATAGCATATCATTTTCTATTGTTCTTTCAGGGTAGGAATTGTTTCAGTGGAGTGTAAAGTAAAAACTCCATCTTCAAGAATAGGACCAAAGTTATTTTATTCCTCCACCTGCATATTCATCAGCTTTGTAACACTCATCAGCGAGCCATCAGCTGTGTGTTGTGACTTGCAAGCCATCAGAACCCCTCAGCATGCAACATTCCGGTGTGCTCTCAGGGACCAATTCATCATTAAATTCAATGTGCTCTCGCTTTAGGTCAAGCAGTTTAACACCTTGTCTATTGTTAGGACACTTACTACACTGATGCATTTGATAATGAAGCACCAGTGTTTTGCACTTGCTCGCCTTAGTGCCCTCACTGGGAGCCAAATGACCACTGCAGTCGGCAGTGCCCGAAAAAAAATTAAACAAGACCGAACTAGTATCCACACCAAGTTCAAAACGTTGCTGCAGTATTTTTGCAGCATAAACAAAAGCTTCAAAATAAAAAGATAGTGAGATGATCAGGATGGCATATGACCATCTTGACACTCATAAAGACAAGACAGTGTAAACTGCCACATTTCTTATAGAATAACCATCAGAATGGAGTGCACTCCTTTTATCATGAACCTTTTGGCATCCATTCAAGCATCCCAGCATAAGGAGTTGTCTAAATATGTGATTCTTCAAAGTAAGAAATCTCAATTACACAACTGCAGAGCACCACATCAAGCATCATGGTGGAGAAATAAGCAATGAGTCAGTGCAAAGAGAGCTTCTGCCATAAAATGCCAGAGATGGATACTTTTAGCAGGTGCCATGTGAGATGCAGTAGTAGCATGACAGGGTTCAAACAAGACTTCATTGATAAAGTGTATTGTATTCCTACCTACTCACAGCTAATGTCATACTCGAACTACAGGATTTGTAATGCAATCATGAAAGATATTTCCCATCTTTCCATGAACAATGGCCAATGGGACATCACTTATTAGTTCCAATCCTACATATTTATATGCTCCCAGGGTCAAAGTCCTCATATATATAACACATATCTCTCTCTGTCAGACATATTGCTGTATATGATAAATCCCCATATCTTGTAAATCAATACAATAATTTCTATGATCCTAACTGAAAAAATTATGCTGAGTGTCTGGCACAGCAAGCTGTCCACCAGCAGCCTAGCTACAAAAATTTCAGCTCATGCATGCTATAAATCTGGGCACTCAGAGCTCTCCACATAATCACTAGCAATACATTACCACATGGAAAATCAATGTTTCAGGATTTTAAAATACAATTGTTGGCTAGTTACTGTGGGCTTAATGAAGCGGGTTGACATGAAAAAGCCCAGTTACATACCTTTCCCGCGGCTCTGCCAAGTCGGACGATCCCTAGTTTCAGCCCATAGCCCGAAGATTCAGCGCGCTCCGGAGTGCTGGGAACGTACTTCATTTTTCTAAATAACCTATCCTCCACACCAGCGCGAAGACTTCAGGCGTGCAAATTCGACCAGAAACAGTTCCAAGAATGTACTTTGCACGACACCATGCATAAATAAACCTCTCGATGAGGTAGGCGCCCGACACGACCAGCCAGCACGGAACCAGGGCACCGGCTCCGCCCCCGGCACGCAGCCAACCACACGCAGCGTCGGCTCGGAGGCAGCGAATGTCGCGTCCGCAAGCACAAACTGTGTGCTGGCATTGCCAGTCCTAAAGCGCAGCAAACTATTGGAAAACTCAAGCATAGGAGCGTCATAGCCATTTTCTAGTAGTCTGAACTACAACTTTGATTTTTACACAATGCAAAACTTTATACTAGGCGTTTTTTTGTTCTAAATTACTTCAAAAATGGCTAAAATAACAACTAAAAGGTACTTAAAATAATTTGACGTCATGTATAGGGAAAAACTGATTATTCTAACAAACTGATGGCTTGCTTTGTTTCACATTCCTTTTTACTAAAACACAGCCATTTTGAGGTGAGGTTAAAAGGCTGACGTATCTAGCAGACATGCTCATTCTTGAAAAGCATTGCTTAATTGCGTCGGAAATTTACATCGATCAGTCATAAAAGGCATGGTTAGTGTGGGAGCGGTAGGGAGTGGCAATCTTAATAACGGTTAAAACCCCAGAACCCAGGAAAAAAATTCAGGTGCAAAAGCAGACAACTATGCTCTCAAAACGCACCGCCTCGATCAGCGCGAAAACTTCGCTTTTCGATTCGTCATGCCTGATTCTCCGATTAGATTTGAAAATCGTGATTTTATGGCAGATGCATAGTCGTCACTTTTGTATATATTTAAACTGTTACACACGGACGACAACAACTTATCCGAAATCAGAATCTATGCAGGTGATCGTCGCGAAATCTTCAGTGGTAGCTGCAGCACGTAGGCATACCTTTGGCGACAATTCCTTACCATGATCAACATGTTAGAGATCAGTGATCATTGCTGTGAGATCAAAATGCCAATATAACAGCCAAAACCTAACTTAACTTTTCTTAACTCAGTACCGTCTTCGTTTCCCGCACCAATGGTCTTCTTTATGGTAGACAAATAGCAAACACGTGTGACAGTTTGCATTAATTACTCAGTTTCCAGGGCCAGGCCAATCAATCTCGATATCACGATCCCGTGCGGCTGGATGTGATCTTCATTGACAGTGCCTTTTGGCTTCCTGATGGGTTCTACAGCCATGAATAAATCATATAAACACCTGGTCACATCCCACACTTGGGCTCGGCTCTTATCATCATTTTCCATCGCGGCAACACATATCGTTTCCATTTAAGCCTGATGATGTTTTTGCGACGCAACAGTGACCAATGATATCTTATCATATCTGACATTTGGTTCGTGTAATTTTCGAGTCTATCGGTTTATTCATATGTCGTCATATAGAACTCCGCATATCTGCAGATTTCTAACAAATGTGAGTGCTTCTGGCCTAAGCAGGTTACAATGATGCTCAAAAGTGACGATTTCGAGACGATTTTATGCATAGGGTCAGAGACTTAAGTTGCCTGCAAAAATATCGATGTTGACAAAATTAATTGCTTCTGATCTAATTTAGGGTCACTGTTATCCGAACTGAGAGAGGCAATCAGCTGTGGCACAGCGAATGGTGAAGGCTCCGCGGCCCCTAGAATGGCAGATTCTTAGAGCTGACTTGCCTGCCCTTGCACGTGGAATTCTCCTATTGCGTTTTTAATGCGTTTTTGCCCAGTTTTTGCCACTCCGGTAAGCCAAATCATGCTGAATCTGTTGTAAATTTTGGGGCGGTCGGAATGGGTAGTTTCTGAGGACGAGCACGTCTCAGGTATGTCGGTTTTTTAGTCGTACCCGTTTTTCAGGTATCGAGAACGGAATGCACTTAAGTGATTTTCCTACCATGCCTGATGCAAACGTAGATAAGAACTTGCCTTTTTAAATATAGCGAACAAGCATGCACCATTTGTGATAAGCCACATCTGGTCTGTTGCATCTATGTGCGGTCGGATGTCGATCCATTCTAATGACTCCCATTCGGGATGTCCAGCATGCACCGCTCAATCGTGATATGCACCTCCAATGCCATAAGCCTGCTGCGTGTTTGCACATTGCCAAATGTAATTCAGCTTCATGTATTACCTTCAGTGAGTTCTGCCCGCTCTATGTATGTTTCCGACCGATAAGAAATCACGTTCCGGTGGATGGAACAGGCCAAGGCAAGGCAACAAGGCAAGGCATTACACACACTCTATTTGTAGGGATTTACACCCTAACGTATTGGTTAATCCAGGGACAGCGGTGAAAATGCAATATGCCAGATATTGCAGCGATCGCACCACCTGTCGTTTAAAGTTATCCACTCTCGACACTTCGCCGATTCAGGGCGCTCATGCCATCGCCTTTGCCACAGTCGCTTTTGTCAGCGTCCAGCCAGCCGTGTTCAGGGGTCGTCCTAATCGTGTCAGGCTATCTCGATCGTGCTGAACCGCAAAGACTGCCAGTGGCCATCTCATTCATGGCTTCTGAGCCCTCTTGAGCACTGCATCCAAAGGATTCTACCTGTCCCAAGGTCACCTTTTCAGCTAGCCTCGATTTTCTCACGGGAATCTTCCGCAGCGTTGTCTGCCTTTTTGTCTGAAAGCTTTCACCTTTAGTTACGACGTAGCTGTGCCGTCCCATGCCTTGAATGTCACTGGGATGCATTCTTGTTTCACCGCCATTTGACGTAGCCAGAACACAAAAAGCCTAATCTGCCGGAAAGCTTCTGGGGCCCGGAATCCAGCAGCCGCAGCACTGGCTACGGCCATGCTACAGATGCGTGTATAGACATATCTATTTCTGCAGTCCCCAAGGTTTCTTGCGGCTGAAGTTTCTATAAATGCAACTTACAGATTCTGTAGATCTCTTACATTTTCGAACTTACGGTACCAGATAACCTAAAAGCAAAGGCCCTCCAATGGCCCCAGCACCTACAAATATCAACCACCAGGGCCATCTATCCGACTGATGGGATATCAAAGATGTGAAATCTGCACATCGCTGTGACAGGTGGCGCTGATTTGCAAGCTGTCTCCACGACTCAACAGCGGTGGCAGCGATTTCAGATCAAACGTTCGTATGGAAAATACAAATGCATAATACTTGTACGCAACCATTCATTGCAAACGTAAGTCCAACACGAAGTTCGTCACTTAAAATTACGTACGTAGCAGTTTGTGTTGCAAAAGTTTGCAGGTGTTCGTGTGGCATGTATTGTGTCGTGTGGTGTGGTAAGGGATTAAACAATATTTGCATTGACATAAGTTTGTCACGCCAAAAGGTGGCAATCAAAAAAGCGTACGCCCACGGTGTGTACGCAGCTGTTTAGAACCAGCTGCAGTTGTGAAAATTTTCGTAACGGATACAATTGTTTGACAAACTATGTGCACAAGAAGAAATCATTGAACGCACAGTAACAATTTTGCACAAAGCCATTCCCATGAGGAAGCATTCCAGGACACATGGACCACTCGAGCACCCAATGACACACCATCGTCAGCTCTCAGTTCGTTGAAATGTTGGCTCTGCGCGGAATTTAGCTGCATCGACCGTGCAAACGGAGAACCGTCATATTCAAGTCGACCGTGCAAATCATGGCCCCATCCTGCGTACAGTTTTTAAGCTATAACCTTGGACAATGTTGAGTCGGGCACAGGCTAGGTACGAATCAGGGATAGAGGCATTGCCAGTATGGGGCATGAAGTGGGGAGTACATGGAACAGCCGCTGATATTCGGGACGTCCTTTTTTACCCAACGGTCCTGCCATTCCAGCGCTACTGTGCACCTTTTCCATTGATTCGGGTCCAGCTGTTGGCTGCTTGCGATGTTTGATTTAATGTCATGGAGAGCTGGACTAGTCCTAATATTTTATATGACTTGTTCAATTGCTACCGTCCACCGCCATCCCTTAGCCCCTCCTGCACCGAAGCCCGCTAGGTCGCCGGGAAATGATGACTCCCGCAGTGACAATTCATGCGAGCCCCGGCAACACAGATGGGAACCTGCACTTGAAGTTACATTAAACATCTGCATGGGAAGTCTTTCGTACATACTTTTGCTAAGCAAACATTAATTTCAACACTCCTTTTCCCGCGAATTTTGTGTATTTCTGTTAACACTCGCCCGGGTAACCTGGTGAATACCCTTCACTACGGTGGGGGTCAACTTGACCCCCTGAGATCACAGAAACTAAGAAAGCTAGAAACAATAAATTCTTAGAGGGTCTTTACCTGTACATGAACTCGTTTGTGTCAAAATTTGAAATTCCTAGGCCTTGACCTTTGGGTCAAATAAGGTCAACAATGTCAAACTCCAGATCGGTGTCTAAAGTGCCCCCAGACCTTCTCATGCGACCAACGTGAACCTTGGTACCAGTTCTAGGCAAAAGTTCACTGGTTTGTATTTAAATTCATTAACTTTGTGTGACCTTTCGAAGGTCATGGCGACCATAACTGTACGCGACTGCTTTGATTTTCGCATTTGAGTAAAAGTCAAGGATAACGCAAAGTGGTATATTCCTGAAAATTAAATGTACACCAGGGGCATTTTAGGTCAGTTATCTATTCTGACGTTAAAAAAGTTCATGGAAGATGTGAAATGCATTCCCTGTTATCCACAAATTCAAAATTAGCACCCGAGCCACCCGTATAGCAAGTTCTAAAGTAATAAAACAGGTTAGTTTTGACCTTGGTATCACCGTCTTACCTGATTCTTGGTCAATGGACCTAGTAAATTTGATTGTTGTGTTGTCTAGGAAACTTTCGCAATGATATATGGTCTGGTCTAACACTCCATTGTTGTATCAGAGTGAACAATTCCCTAGAAATTGCCTTCGCTGAGTCCGTGGCCTGACTTTGACCTGCAGTAGGTCAGTGACTTCACAAGGTACATCTAACTTTTTATTCCAAGCGATCCGCTGTTCAAATGTCTGCAACCAGACAAAATTTGTCACGGCTACACCCCGCCGTTTGGAAATCATTTCGAAAAAGCCTTCGGTGGGGTCAAATTGACCCGCACCTAGGCGCTGTTAAATATTCGCATGTCAACTTTTGCGCACGTACTTTTGTCGGCGGGATTTTACCTCCGAAAACATCTGTGTACAAACAACTGCGTGCGAC